TGCTATAAATGCTTGTAACGCCACATTGTAAACCCTGGCAGAAATGATGTTCTGTTGTGAAGTTGCTTTTCTATTTTCTGAGAGTAACGGCTGTTTCACATCTGTTTGTGGCCTCTTCTCACATTATCAGCTTATATGGTGTAAAATCTCTAGTGCAGTTGTGAGGGCAAAAGTAATTTTCTCCTTTTGACTCACCTATAGTTGTGCCTTCTGCTGCACACACTCTTACCTCAGCAAACCACAGTACTGAATTTATAAATAACCGTTCCCCTAACATGGTCATTATAATTCTGCTACTGTTTGGTGGCATGATGCTGCAGCCAGTTTCCTAAAACCTCAGTATTTTTAACAAGGTGACTTTGTGGCAGTTTTTTGCAAGTAATGGCACTGCGTGGTTCCTCCAGGTCTGATCACATAGCCTGTTCTGTTTGCTCACACCTTGCTTTTCTGTCCCTGCTGCAGAAATCCTTTAACCTCTGCTGTCATTCTCCCACTGTGCAGCAGAGTTGGGCTCTTGTTGGAATGCATCTGCCACACTGCAGTGAGGGGGCAGAGCTGTCAAGCCTCATTGCCATGTAATGAACAAACATATTTCTACTAGATTCACATCTTGGCTTAAAGAGGAAAAGCCATCTGCACTAGTTATGCAAAATGCGCGCAAACGGCACAAATGAACATGTAGACTTTTCCTTTCCAGACCCAGGCCTGAATCACAGCACTGTCAAAACACACTTTACCACAGATTCACAGGGGCTGCACTCAAGGTAACAAGAACTGCATCCAGGATAAGATCTCTAGTCTTAATTAATAGTGGGACTTGGACACTCTTTATTAAGGATTAGGCAAAGATTACTCTGATGTATGCTGCTCAATTATTATTCTGTCTGTGCTGCCTTACCAAGAATATTCAAGCATAATTTCACACTTCACCAGCACTACATCACATTATCCTAATTCATCACACACTATGTGGCATGTATGATGCTGTATGTGCCTTGTTTGACATGTAAGAAATGAAATGATGCATCTCTTCAGTAATGAGGTTGCATCCCTGGTCCCTCTCAAATAATGTGGACATGCCAGTTTATTACAAAATGTACTACCTTTGGAGTTGTAATATTTAATACCATGTCTTTTTCTGGAAAATCACATGCAGCAGATTTCCTGTTGACTTGAGAGAAAAAGTATAGAAAGTATGATGTATAGATTGAGTCTAGAACATTTTTAATATTGATGCCTTGCTCAACTTGACGTGGTGGTAGGTTATGTTGAATAAATGTGTCCCAGTCACACACTCTGCATGGCTAATACGAGCTCCTGGTTTCATCAGATGGATATTTTAAATCCATATTTGTAGTAGTTTTAGTGATTCGTGCAGAATAAAGGAAGTTGGCTGAAATATGTGTGAGGTAGAACACTAAAAAAGTTTTTTTCCTAGCTAAGGAGAGGTTGAGGATGTGACAATGAAAAGGCATGGCAGTAATCCTGAAAGCCGTCTGACAGGCCAGTAAACTCAGCATGACAGAAAGGGTGCACCATAGTTTAATGGCTGTCTGTAGGGTCAGAGAGACAGCAAGACAGTTGAGAGAGAAAGTAATTTAATGAAAACAACTTAGTAAATATGTTAAACAGTATGTAACAAAACGAATACGACAGACATAATGATTCTGTAACTGAGAACGGGGATACAGCGAAATTTGTAAAACAAGAGAAAAGACCCGGGGGACAGAGCTCCACGTGCGAAGCTCTGGACTGCCGCCACGCTTCCCCATAGTATGAAAACAGCAGGGTTGGTGCAGGCATCCAGGCAGAACGCCTGCCTGCTATAGGCTTGGGGCAGCTCTGAATATCAGTAGTGACAGAGACCTCTCTGCCTTATGGCTGCAGCAGATGTCTATCTGCTGTGCTTGATCAAGATCATAGATGATCTAATCAGTGGGACTGAAGGCCACACACTTTATGTGAAGTATTTAAAAGGCATACAGTAGCTGTTTACTTCGGTCTTGAGTGCATCTACTACTGTATAATAAGAAGTGTGCAGCCTAAGATGAAGTTGCTGGACTCATGGTGACACACTGCCAAACAAAACAATTGGATTATGAGCTTTATAGATAGACGGCGCAGTAACAGTGAGCCAAGAATAGCAGCATTTACAAAAGTAGGAAATCTTCTTCATTCGGATGTTAAACAAAACAGTTGGGTCTTTTTCTTACTATATGTTTAATATGCTCATTATCATCTGCTTCGTATTGACACATGTACTCTGTAAGCTTTACACATGCAAGTTCATTTTTGTCTCCTAAGAGCACATCTATGTTCATGTGTATTTATACTGTATTGTCTACATTTACATTCCTTTACGTGGCTGTTTTGGATCAGACTGTGGATTCGTGCTCCCAGTTTACCGCCTGTAGTGAGCTGTATTTATATACTGTGTGTGACTGTTCAGCCCTTTTTCTTTCTCCTACCACTTATCTATGTAGGTGTCCATATGGAAAACCCCCTTTTCTGTCACGTTTCCATTATGTTTTCTTTCAGGTTTGTATCAGGAGCCAGTGAGACTTTGCCTGAATCATCTCTGCCTTTGTCTCTCTGTGCACGCATGTGGATTACCCTCTCGTCACTATCACTCTGTGTCCTTTCCCCTTGATACAGTAGAGTGAAGGCATAACCTTAAACTCTTATCCCTGTTTTCCTCTGTAAAGTCACCTTATTACCAAAGCCAAATGAATGCATACAAGCTGTAACTGCCTTTGTCTGTGTCATAGCAGTGCAATCTTCTGAATGTCTCTTGCGGAAAACAATTCTCCAACTAGCACTGGCACATTGCAGGGTTCAGTCCTGAATCTTCATGCGAGAACGCTCCATATTGTTAGTGACCTTCAGGTCCTGTGTGCATTTCTGTGAAGATTTCATTAGGTGCAGGATCCAAGAGTTCAGATCTCAAAAGTTATAGCTTGAAAAAAATTGGCTTTTTCTAAACGCCAGCTTCTTAAAATGAATCCTGTGTGAAAAGCAGCCCCTGAACTGAATATGTTCTTATTTCATTGACAGTCTGCACATATGTAGAATTAGAATTCAGTACTTTGACCATTCATACTGAGTCACATCTGTCTCAAGAAAAGTAAGAATGTAAACGAGGATGATTGGATGGAATGAAGGGTTGAAACTGGTATTTGTCAGCAGGCGTTATGTCACAGTCACAGAAAGGATTGATGGCTTTTTTTTTTAAGTAAATCAGTTTTGTCCTGCTCCCTGTATATGGACTCTGTTAGCTTGCGGGTGTCTGTTTACAGTATATCAGGAGTGAGAAGACACTGGGATGATCTCTGCTATTTCCTGGGGAGTATTCATTTTAACACTGGCCTGTGCTGGGTGATAAAATGATTAGGATTGCTGTAGTCTAGAGTACAGTTTGCTGTTTATGTTTTCTGTTGGAACCCTAACAGACATCAGACTTAGCACCACTGTACTGGATCTGTATTTGCCGTGTTAAGTTGCTGTTAATGCAGTCTGAACATTTTGTGCAGCTGCTTCACATTAAAAGCTTTCCACTGGAGGCTTTTATTGCTTATTTGTGCTAGAGGAGTCACATTGTATTTGTCATACTGATAAGCTGTGCTGTGTTAGCAGTGCTATTGTTCAATCAAAACTGCTTTGTGCAACAAGATGTGAACATATTCTGTGTAAATCATTCAGCTGACTGGTTTTAAATATTGCAGAAAGTGTCCATTACCAGAGGATACCATCACAGTGAGCTGCAGTCTTTTACTGTGAGTAGAGTAGTGCAGACCAACACACCATCAAACCTTCATCATGTTATGAAGGTAAATAGTAATTTTACTTTACCATCCTGTCCATTTTAGTAAGTTAAAGGCATCTTGGGCACAAACATTTCATGTGGAATGACTAAAGGCTGCACCGTACATGCAGCACACGATGCTATCAGGGTTGCTCATTGCGCTCCACGGGTATCCCAGCCACGTAAAAAAAAATGTCATTACATTAAAGAAGCAAGACTTGTTTTGTTTTTTTTCCTCTTGTAGGCTCCCTATCACTACAGTAGAGCTTCATGTACTGTATCCACAACTGAGGGAGAGGAGAAGAGAGCAGTGGAGGGTGTAAGAAGTAGTTTGGGGGTGGGGGCTGAGTAGAGCATGTCTGTCGTATAGTTTGGAGGGAAATCTTAGTGCATCCTCAGGGATCATCTCATGGAGAGCAGTTGTGAAAAGCAGGCTGTTCTTCATGTTGTAAGGTGAGTAAACCTCCTCAGACGACTTACAAAAGAAGCTGAGAGCTTGCAAATGTGCGTGCATGTAGCTGGCTGTGAATGCAACTGATTGTGGTAATGGAGAGTACATGGTACGTACATGGGACACCTAGGGAACAGCTATGATCTGTGCATAAGATTCCAGTGAGTGAAAAACATAACTGTTTTATACTGCCAAGGTAGTGGTGTGGGTGAGTGCAAAGGTTACACAAATGTGTGTACAAAACCCCCTTAGTGTGTGTGTTAGTGTCATGATGCAGCGCTTGAAGCTAGAAAGCTGTGCAAGTAATGGCTTCGCTCAGACTGGGTAATTAGTCAAAACTCAGATTTGTACTCAACTCCCAATAGGAACACTGCCACCAAGGCTGGATATCACCCAGTGAAGTGGTGCTTATCTGTCTGTGTGGGTTGGGAAAATGGTGGTATTATATAGTCTGTGTACATGTAAAAAATTGTATATGGTCTATTTTCTTCTAAGCTAGTCATGAGCAAATATTTCTTTTTGGAATTTGATCATTTGCAGTTGACTTAAGCCTCTGTTTTGTGTTATTAGCATGCATACCATGTTGAGGCACAACACGGTTGGAGCAAGCTGTCAAACTGTCAACCTGCTTCCCTCATATCGACTTCACATTTGTCATATCTGTCAGTAGTAGTACATAAAGCTTTCTCTGATGACACTGTGTTCCTGACCTTCAGTCCTTGTCGTTTTTGTTGTGTCTATGTGCAGGAGCTCCAGTTTGAGCAGCTAACCAGGGAGCTGGAAGTTGAAAGGCAGATTGTGGCCAGTCAGCTGGAACGATGCAGACTTGGAACCGAGTCACCAGGCGCTGGTAGCAGCAGGTAATGGGGAAGATGCACATACACACAACCAGAATTCGACACATGGATTCTTTATCCTTCACAGCAGTTGGCATACAGTACTGCCATAGTGTAACCTTATGGCATAGTGATGGAGCAACCTAGGGTGCTTGAATCTGTGCTACTATTTTAAAATGGACAGAATTGCTTCAGTGTTACCTAAGCTAATCAGAGACCTGGTCAAATCAATTGCAGTAGTTGTCCACTTCTCAGACCTTTTGCTATGGCACTCCACACTGTGGTCAGATGTATCTTGTTTGCTCCAATTATCCCTGAGATGTGTCTAGAGCTAGATTGTCCACCTGTGGCAAATTTAATTGCTTTGACATAAACACACCTGTGTATGTAATGTCCCACAATTCATGCTGCATGTTAGGACAAAAAATCCAAGGAACTCTGATAAAATGGGGGCATTAAAAATATAGTCTGACATGTTTTTTCTTCAAAAAGAAAGCACAACAAACCTCTGAAAAATTCTTGAAAACATCACTGGTCCCTTCACTGGCATTTCCAGCAATTCTGAATATTCAAACTGCTTCCCCCACATAGACCGGTGAAACCAGGATACAGTAGCATTAGGAAAAACTGAAGAGATTCAGCCATATATACTATGCTTGAGCCTCGTTCAGACTGTGACGTTTAAGAGATTGATTAATTGATTGTTAATATGGTGGTTCTTTGTTGCTTTTACTTATTGGCTTCAATTAAGGCCAGCAGTTTTGATGGCACGGCACAGCGCAGCATCATGTAGATATTTAGCCGTACACTGATAGTAGTTGTAGTCATATGTGTTATTCCTCGATGAAAGGTTTGTGAATATATATTGTATAAGGTTACTGATACAAGGATGTGATAGTGACACATTAAATTAAATAGTCCACCATCTTTGCCCTTAGCCCTAAAAATGTGTTTTGGATCATGCAATCACAAGTGAACAGCACTAAGGTGTAACTGCACCCAAAGGCTTTGATGACTGACACCTGACTACATGTTAATCTATCCTTGACCACTGAGTGACTCCTATTCAGCCAGGACTCCTACAATATTTATGCACCGTCCTTGGCAGGTAGCTAACTGTGATTTAAGTCGCCTATATTCTTTTTTTCCCAACATTCCCTGGTCCTGGACAATTATTGAGGTCGAAATACTTTTTTGTATAAGAGGAACAGAACTGCAAAATGTGTTGATTACTTTGCTAACATACTGGAGGCGTGATGATCACACAAACTACACAGTTGATCTAATTAGCTCAGTTTGGCCACGTCGTGCAATTTTAATTTAACCCGTAGTCCAGAGTTTTTAATTAGAGCCATTTTTACATTTCAGGGAGCTGGCATTCTAATGTCCTTAACTAAGACTGCGGTAAATTATAGCACAGTGGTACTGTTCCAGCCTATGCTATGATATCTGAAAATCTCAAAAACTCCACTCAGCTCATGTCCAAAGAAAATGGAAGTGTTATTTGCATATTGTTCATAGATGGTTACCTGCTCTGCATTCTGATGCCAGGTTCAAGCTAGTTTTCTCTCAAATGGACATATGTAGATGTGACTGGGATATATTCAGACCCGTGGCACTTGGTCTCAACAGGGGTTGTAATAGCCCTCTGTGTTCTTTTCCGGCTCTGTGATAATAAGCCCTATGCCCTTATATGATGCATTTTTGCACTCCAGCCTGCATCACTCCAGAAGCACCCACCTACAGTACTGCCAACAGATTGCAGTACTCTGCTCTGGAGTTAAGAGTGTCCATTTCCCCTTTCTCCCTTTTTATAATGGCACAGGTGGCAGCTCACTCGCTCACTCGAGACAAACATTTAACCAATCTGTGCCGCCTATAGATTAATTTTAGAAATAAAACTAGATGACCGAGCAGTCTTTCTTTAATCTGCTGCCTCTAATATGAAATGTCTGACTGTCACAGTAAAAAAAAATCAGTGCCAAGTCTGTTTTTTGTTTTGTTTTTTTGCAGCATAACTAGCAGTTAGGCCAGCCAAAAAGTATTGAACGGTATTTTCATTCGTTTTTTTTTTAAACCTACACACACACAGGTCCTGCAGAAAGACAATCTGCCACTGTCTATGTTTAGTCAACTTTATTCATTTATTCCTATTTCATCAGAGTTTGTAGACCAAAGAAGACAAATGCCAAAATTCAGGTAAATGCTAAATATGAATTTGACCTGTAAGTGACCAAAACACTGGCTATAATAGCTAAATTAGATGATAAAGTATCAAGGCTTGTTGTTGAATATCACTAATTATGTTATCAGTAGCCCATAAATAATGGGCTATTGAGTTATTTTTGACAGGTTCACTTTATATTCTGAAAAATGCTTTCTCTGTAGGAATAAGAAGGAGAAATATGATTAAAAAATGCCTTTGCCTTTTTATCAAATGCAATTTTACTCATCATTTGTCTGAATTTGCTCGCATGCTCCCAACGGTTGGATTTGCATTAATCAGTTAAATTTTCTTTTCAGTTTTATTTGTATAATGCCAAATAACAACAAAAGCCATGTCAGGACACTCTACAAAGCACAATCTAGACCTAGACCTAAATTATCTGCTGCAGTCCATCAGGTTAAGATGATTCTTTCAATATATATCTCATAGGTATTAACATTAAAATGATTAATTTTGAAACCTTTTCAGTTTAAATAAACCTCAGTAGAAACCTAGGTGCCATTTTTGGGACTCGGTTTCACTGGAGGAACCAAGGGTTAAATACAGTCCCTTATCCATAGTTCACTGTCTGCAAAGCTGTTGCTTTCTGTTGCCCTGGGAATCAACTGAGTGCTGTTTGTTGTTCAGAACCAATTAGTCACTCAAAAGCCTTGATACTGCAACAAATGTATGCTGTCCATTCATGCAGTAAGCAGCAGTAGTTATCACTGGGATTAATATTGGAGCTAAGGGTCAAAATCACATGCTTTTTATATGGACACTGCAGTTACTGTTTGTTTCTAAGCACTGAAGCAGAACTAAATTAATTTGCAGATTGTTTTTATTTGCTAGACCCAGGTTTTCAGGATTCCTTTTCATTATTTTTCTGCTTTTTAGCCGACAAATGTTTTTTTTAAGTTACATCAGAACATGAATAGTCTTTTTTTTTTTCATTTAAAATTTGACTTTGGATTGAATTGTTTTGGATACAGCTCCAAACAGCAGTGAGTATGTACTTTCTCTTCACCTTGCATTGCTGTTGCCACACAGATAAGGTATATTCTCTGTCATCGGTGTTTGACGCACAAATATTGGCTGCGCTCTCAGAAACATAGGTAAAGGTTGAATAATGGCTAAATGGTCTCTCCAGCAAAAATGTACTTTTATTATCCAAGTTTCCTATTCTAATATTAAGTAAAGATTCACATGTACTTGATGTTTTAGAAGTCAGGTTACTGCTGAATATAATCACACCTATCACGTACGTGCAATCGCAGCCATTTTCCCCCTGAGGCACCGTTGGCTGTCCACCGCCTCCCAGGGACCCTATAAAGAAAACCTGTAACTCCAGTTTTACACCTTTTAAAGCCAGAGGAGGACAAATGAAACAGCTATCACTGGGCATTTGTGTGTGAATGGAGATTAGCTTCTGTCATTAAGGTCACACTGCTTGGCTCAATAGCCCAGCAGAGCAACAGCACACTTAAGGGCACTGTTGGGAGCCATTACATTTCATGACACCTCCAGAGTTGACCCACCTCGTCATTTCTACAAGCATACAGGGGATAGTCATCAAACTGGAGCTGTGGCAAAACTCTAAAGAGTTGTGACCTCCTGCCCAGCCAGTCTGTCACTAGCCAAAGGGATAAGGCCTGTTGTAGTTTTACAGTAATTTTACTTCGCCTCTACCCAGCCAGATAGTCAGCATGCAGTATTCATGGCGCATCAGCCTTATGGTAGCCATTCTCCTCCTTCATCTGCCATGGCTCAGTGGAGCACAACTCACCCAACTTCCACTTTTTAATTGCCTGTGTACTCATTAAAATTCTGAGAGAACTGCCTTTTAAAACTCATTGAGTGTCACCTTAGATGGAAAAAACTGCAGCAGTAGCAACATCAGGTGCCCGACAGTGATGACCACCAAATAGAGAAAAGGGTGGGGAAGCAGCTCTGAGGTCTTCTATTTGGCCTCTGTCTGTCACAGTAACCAGCCTTGGAACAATGTGAATGGCTTGCCTTTGTTTAGAATGTATTGTACCATATTTTCATAGGTATTTATTTACATAAATTGAAATTAATAACAAGTGTATGTACAATCAGAATCAGTTTTATTGGCCAGGTGTGTTGGACACGAGGAATTTGACTCTGGTACATAAGCTCTCAGCGTGTATGTACATATCCTTATGTAAGGCAGCAGCAAGCGGCAAGTAAACAATATACCAATATAAGGCTGTGTAGTATAACAAAATAAACACTATTGACAAAGCAATAAACAATACAAACAGACAAAGGAATGCTCATTAGGAAACAAGATAAAAATAGGGTACTTAAAGAATAGAGACTTGTACGGATCTGTATAATCTGTACAATGTATATTTACAGGTACTGCACTGAGAGTTATTGTCTAATCATACTGTTGTGGGTTAAGTGTTCATCAGTGTGACGGCTCAGGGGAAGAAACTGTCCCTGTGCCTGGTTGTCTTGGTGCACAGTGACCTGTAACGCCGTCCACAGGGGAGGAGTTCAAACAGATTGTGCCCAGGGTGTGAAGGATCAGCAGTGATCCTCTCCGCCCTCCTTTTGACCCGTGAGGTGTACAGGTCCTCCACGGAGGGAAGGCATATCTGCTCTGCACTTTCCTTTCTGCCAAGATCTTAACTACAATCAATATAATGCAGTGCATTTGCTACAGGACTACTATGATTTTTCTTTACTCAATACTCCCATTTTCTTTTGATTATATTTTGTTAAGCTTTAAAGAAATTAATCTTATAGTTTGAGATGTAGTTTTCCCTCTCAGTTTAAGGGAAGGGCTGTGCCTCCTCTCGCACACATACACAGCTGAGCAGAGGATGTGAAAGATCACTCCATACTGAAACAATCAGCGAGTGACAGAGACTGTATGAGCAGTTTATCAAACAGATGTTGAACAAGCAGAACACAAACTTGCAGAAATGTGTGACGTCTTCTTTGGCCGTGGTTCACTTCCTAATCCAATGAGTGAATGTCTGTCTGTGCACACTGTTATCTTTTGTTGCAATGGAGACTGCTTCTTCTTGCTAGATCATTATTCTCCTTCATTATTCTGTGGAGAGTATCAGATTCCCTCTGTCCTGGGATACACACTAACATGTACTGTCTGTCAGGACTATGTCTAGATGCTGTGAGCCTTGTACGTACTGCATGATTAAATGTTACTCTGCATGTGTTCAGTTTCATTTCCAACCAGATTGTATTTCATCCCCTTTTGTACATTTTGACTTGACTTATTTATTAAAGTTGCAGATGGAAACTGTTTCCAGTCCCACATTTACAGCTTTTTGCTCAGTGATGATGGGTCTTGAAACAAAACACTAGAGGCACTTTTGGGTCTTGTTAAACCCAGATGGCAGAAATAGACTTTACATTTGACTTGTAAATATTCTAAATTCTCTTAGGCAGTATACTCTGAACCTCTAGCTCTCAAACACAGTGATTACAATCTCTGACCCTGTTATGAAAGGCCTAGGGACAGAGTATATGACTTCAGTGTGTCACGTCTTGGTTTGTATTGCACGTATTCACTTGTCTCCTGTTTTCCCCTTCCACACAGCTCGTCTGAGAAGTCTCTACCTTGGAGAACTGCAGGTATGTTATCACAAACACTAAACTGATTGGTCAGCTATCCCTATTCACAACTGAACCTGAAAATAACCTGAGAATTACACACGTATAACACACAACAAACACGTATTGTTCACTCTGTAAAGTTTTACTGTAACATAATGGGCCACCTACTTTCATGATACGTGTTACTATGGATACTGTTGGATAAACAAACACAGCCTTATTTGGGTTAGCTCTACACAGGTCTGAAGCGACCCGTGGCTCTGTATCCTGTGTACGAAGCTAGCTTACATTTAAATATCCCACATTCGTTCCGTTTTGTCTCCGTGTGACCCTAAATAGAGCTGCGAAGCTATGTCATCACATCTGGTTAGCCTCTGTTCCAGTAGCTTCAGTGACTCTGAGATCTCTCATTTAGCACTTTTTTTTGATTACCTCGTGCCATGCCTGAGCACGATTGCTTCCCCCTGCCCACTCTCCTGCAGGTCTGCTTTCACATTAGTAACATCGTTTTGTGCCCCAGCACGCTTGCGTATGCCCATTTATGGATTAAACGTAGCAGGTGGAATGGAGCACTACCAATATGGCTACCGCCAGACTTGAGCTTCAAAACCACTCTTCAGTAAACTAATAGGTGGTGTCATGGTGGGTTTGTCCAGCTTTTATATACAGTTGGTGGAGTACATATGAATCATGCTCGAGACCACCTCTTCAAGCTGACTCGGGCCAGGTGCTTGAGACTGGTATGCTTGTGCTCACACTGCTCACACTGATCAAAATGAACCAAACCTTGGGGTCAAGTGTACTCTGATTCGGGCTGGAGTCCCTAATGTGAAACCACCCTAAATGTACCTGGTTTACTTCATAAAGCCTACATTCACATTTAGTGGACTAGACAGGTCTGGTCAAGTGTGTTTCTCTGTGTGTACAGTATGTGTCCACAATAATCATTACTAATATGATCCTTTACACCCAGGCTTATAGTAATGAAAAGCCTGAAGCCTATCCTTGTTCTAATATTTATCTGAGCTATTTCTGCCCACTCACACATAACTCCATCTATGACAGAGTGTAGGATTTCTCTCAGAGCCCTTTGGTCTCTGTTTAGCCTGCATCCTTGAAAGATCTTCAGCACAGAACAGATAATGAATTGAATTTACTAATGTATTTCATGCCTTATTAATTGCATATTGGAACTTTCTGCAATGGCCATTAATCTTTTTTTGTCGATTCCATCAGAAGAGCCTGTGGGGGGAGAGGGGGGGTTATAGTACATATGCACAGGGAATATTAATACTACACAGTGTTCTCATTTGCTGCCTATTCCCCATTTCCTTGCTGAGTGCATTTTATTAGTGTTGGAACAGAGCCGAGGACTAATCCCAATCACTGTTTTGTTTTGTATTGATTTCTCATTGTAATGCAGATGATAAATGATAGTCAGATGTGATAATGTACTTTTTTCCAGTTTAAATGAATTAAAGTCTGAATGTGCTGCACAGAGCATAATGGGCCACGTTTTTGTCTGTGAGGTTTATTGGCTTCATGAGCCACCGTATGTCTCCGCTGTCTGAGCGTTTGGGATTGAAGTGTTACTGTGGAAACGAGCCTCTTAGCCCCAGGAAATGTCAATGCAGTCACACCTCATTTCCACTGAGAACAGAGGACAAATATCCCAGAAAAAAAGCTTTTTCTTTTTCTCTTTCTGGTCCCCCAACTCTTTTGGCTTGGCTGCTTATTCTTTTTCACACATGTGCTATAATTCATATATCAATGTTAATATATTGGCAGTTCAGAATATCAGCATTATGTTCAAAATCGATCTTGTAACTAGGGTTGCAACAGATTATAACATCTCAGAAAATATCACGATTTCACATTATTATGATATTACTCAATTACTGTTATTATCAGCTACAACAACCCTTAAAGGAATGAAAACAAAAAGTGACTGTGCCAGTTGGTTGAGTTGGATTGCAGCACTAGATTGACCCTAAAGAATAAACAGAATTATAAACATGAATAAAAACATGCTATGTAACTAAAATGTTTGCATTTTAGCAGCTGTAGTAGTGGAAGTATTCACATCCTTTACTTGAGTAAAAGTGCTAATATCACACTGTAAAAGTAGCCTATTCTTTTACAAGTAAAAAGTCCTGCATTGAAAATGTTGAGTAAAATTACTTGTCATAAAAATGTGTTTAAAGTATTAAAAGTAGAAGTAGGATACTCAGTGTAGGTCGTCGTACTCAGTGCAGGCAGCAGGAGGTAAAATATATCTACAAAACCACAGGCAGTTGAAAAATTCTGCTTTTTCAATGGCACCGATGGATGTCAAAGGTCACATGAACGTGCAACTGCCTGGAGATTATGACCATTCAAGGAAATCCGTGAATTATTGCGCGAGACTTCACATAGTAGGGGGGGTGTACTCTTGCAAGCAGGAGTTAGCGAGACTTTTATAAACAGAGTTGCTAACATAGGTACACCTCGTTTTCTGAGCTTTCAGCCATGTTTAAGATGATAATTCACTGTTGGAACATTGTAGATAAATCAGAAAACACAGAAAAGCATGTCATGGGCTCTTTAAATGTGAATGCCAAACCCCTCTTGCTGTTGAAACCGGAAATGTTTCATCTTCAGTTTGTGAAAAAGATTCTTCTCTCTTTCTCTCTCTCTTCCTCCTCTGTTCTATCTTTTTGGCATCTCATTTATCAAACAGGGTCACAGCTTAAAACAAAACCCCTGTGGTTTGAAATGACACATTGTGTGTCTCACAGTCACTGCCAGAAAGGAAGGAGACAAAATATTTGTTCCTTCATGTCTTTACTTAAGTTTAAAGGACATATACGGTACATGCTTTTTGAAGAATCCTATTATTGTTTTACTGTAAATACTTTAACAGGTCCCTTGGAACACCTACATGAAATTTTAATGTTTTGAAATTTGATCTTTTCTTGAACTTGCTCTCTACTTGTCTCACCATTAACCAGCTCATTAGCCTTTAGGCATTTTGCTCCCTAACTGTTGCTCATTTGTTAAATACCAACAGAAAAAGACAAAAATGGATGGCACACCAGCGAATGAGTTGGCAAGAGAGCAAGACTAAACTAAAACCTAAGTTTATTTAAATTGGGTTATAATCCTGTTGAAAGTTGCACTGTTGGGACAGGGGCCTGCACATACTGAGTGTTTGCCTCCCTGTTCCCCTCCGCTCGTGAATCATTAAAGTGATTGCAGAGTAAGCCACTAACACTGGTCACGCTTAGCTAGATTGTGAATATGGAGAAACATTGTGTGCAGGGACATTAGAGGGCTAATTCCGGTTCCTGTTGCCGTTCATAAAGAGAGAAGGATGTAGGGATGTGTTGACGCGGTGAAACTATTTAGAGCATGGCTGTATACACAGTAGAAGTAACATGCTAATTTTGCCTTCCGAAATTAGTATGGCAGTAAAGTTTAACGACTCCAACTGTACACAAGAGTGAAACTAATGTTGCAGAAAAGATTGGCTGTTAATGTTTATGCTCATCTCTGAAAATTGTTGAATGATTTAATGGCAATTCTAATCTTTCCATCCCAAAGCCAAAACTCCATAATTGTTTCAGATTCAAAGCTCTTCCTCCCTGTCTGATTCACTGCTCTAATGTGCCTTCCCAGATGCCTCCGCCTCAGGGGACGCCAAGTCTCGGGTGACTGACAGCTCCCAGTTGCCCAGCTACCACATCAGGACTGCGTCAGAACAGGTGTCGATGTACACCCCGGAGCAGTCCTCCCTCCATGAAAGTGAGGGTCTGTTATTGCCTTCTGTCTAATGTCTGCAGTTATCTTTTCTCAAACTCTTTTTCTTTTCTTTTTTTTTGCCTCTGCATTGTCCCACTACATCTGTGTAGCAATTCATCAACTATAAACAGTTTCTTTATTTCCCCACATACTGAAATACTCGGAAGTCATTGTTGTCTATGGATACCGATCTGTCTCCTGCGCCTGTAACCCCTCCCTCTCCTCTTTCTGTGTTCATTTTATTTGTCACTGTCCTTCAGAGTCCACAGGGAATTCACGTAGCTCAACTCAGATGAACTCGTACTCGGATAGCGGCTACCAGGATGCCAGCAGCCAGAACCTAGGTGGCAAGGCTGACCTGAGGATGCAGCACTCCTTCCCTGGCACCGGCACTGGCACCCTGATGAGGAATACCAGGGCTGAGGGCCAGGCTTCAACCCAGGTGCTGTCAGCACCTGCACAGCAAACACACTGCTGTTGTCAAGCACATAATGTTTCCATAAAGAACTGTCTTCTGAATGCTATCATGGTTCACAGTGTGGAAAGACTCATGAAATGTAATTCATAGCCAACTATAAGCTTTTAATTAATGACATTAAAAGCATCAGAATTGAATTTACATGTTTTGTGTGAAGGAGCAATGTAAGCTTACAGGCACAGAAGGTGCACAGTGTCCTGGGTACAACAACATAATCATGCTTCATACAGTGATGTACACAGAGACCACTGAGAAACCAAATGGCACTGCCACACACTTTAGAGGGGGGTGGAAAAGAGAAAATCATTTTGGCCTAGAGTAAAGTCATGCCCTGTGATGAATTGGCTTATGTAATGCTATGTTATCTAGCATGTCATTAACATTACATGGGCCAGTTTGCAGTAGAGTTCAACATGACTGTTTGTGACTTTTGTTGAAGAAACAAACACATGAAGCCATTTTATTTTCTCTCTCATGTGCAGGTTTTGACAGTCACGACAGCAGTGCCTGGCCGGGCTATGAGAAGGGTAAGCTCAGTGCCTTCTCGCTCCCACTCGCCAGCCTATGCCAGCAGTATGTCCCCCTCCCGTGGCTCCCTGCGTACCTCAGCTGGTAGTGCCTACGGCTCACCCATTGTAACCGAACCCAAACCCCTCTCCAGCATCTTCTCTACAACCTTGCCCTCTGCACAGCGCATCAGTACCGGCAGCGGCTCACCCTACTCAACCCAGAGAAACTCCCCTGCTGCTTTGCGGCGCGTGGTCTCAACGAACTCACGGTCAGGCAGCGCCAGCCGCACAACCTCGCCCTATCAAGCCTCTGCAGGGTCATCATCGGGCCGCATGGGCTCGCCTTTGACAATGGTAGACAACATCAGCCCTCCACTGACCAAACAGCCTGCTCACTCATCGTCTCCAGTCAGGACGAGTATGACTGCTGTGCCCCAACACTACAGCTCCACTCTGCCCCGCTCCGTGCTCCACAACACAGACCCCTATGGACCCCAGAGTTACGACATTTATGAGAGGATGGCGCGACCTGACAGCCTCACAGGTGCTCAGATGCACACCTACACACACAAATATTTAGATTGTATCAGTCCAGCAGCCTGATCAAACTCTGTTAGAACCTCACATCAACATATAATTATTTTTAGTAGTCTTTACATATGTTTTTTTTAACATTTTGTATTGAAAAAAAAACACAAGTGCTGTAGCGGTAGTAGGAAAGGGAACATGGTGTTTTCCTTTCATGTTTTGCCTTGCTGTCCCAATTTTTCCGTTGGCACATAGCTGTGTGAATCACTGAGTGTGTGTGTTTGTGGTGTATGGGCCAAGGCCAAACTCTCTCATGTGGACTCAGTGTGGTCTGTTACATTGGAGGAACACAGGATTGTAATGCCATCCACATGATACCCCTATCTTATATCCAGAAAACAACACACTACAGGTATTGGAATAGAGCCACACTTCCATTATTCATAGAAATACATTATTTTCAAAAAAATCTAAAATATTAAAAGATGAAAATCAAAAGAATGACATGTAACAAACACCTTTACTTTAATATGACTTATTTTTTGTAGGATACACAATATGGTCTGGATATTTTTTTGTAAACGTCATGTACACCTACTTCACAAGTAACTTAATGCCAGAATGAAAAGTGTTGCACCTCTAACAGGAGGTTAAGCAGGAATAAGGTCAGTCATTTTCTATGTTAAAGGTACTTTCAACACTCCCCATACAGAGACTAAAACCAACAGTGAATTGCCTCTACTCATGTTTAATGTCTGTCGGTCTCCAACCTGCTTATTCGTCTGTGCCAAAAATGATTAAACACATCAGCGGAACACACCACTGCACATGACGTGACACGTTTCTTCTTTACTGAACACAAGACGCAGAACTTTTTACAGCATCTGAAGTAAGCAAGAGTCAACTGCACATCTCTGGATATCTGCAAAAATATGCTGGTCTGGTGTTTTTAATGAGGAAATATGTCACCCAGTGCAATCGTGTGTTTCACTGATGCGTTCTTAATCTTCTTTGAGCAACAGCAGAGATCTATGGCACAGATGAATAAGCTGACCCGGGGCTGACAGACATTAACCGTGAGTTAGAGGCAAATCATTGTTGGCTTTAGTCTTTGTGTGAAGATTGTTGAAAATGCTGTCATTGTAGAAAATGACCAGCATTATCCTAGTATATGTGGTGTTTTGAAAGACTGTTTTAGCTTGCGAGTTAAATGGGAGGTGATCTTTTTCACAGCAAACATGGCAATGTGTCGTGAAATAAGAGAGATGGTGAAAGAAAACATTTCCACATCACGCAGTGGAGTTCCTTCCAAATCCATTATTTTAATGAGTGCATTATCAAGGCTATAGTGTGGGCAGTCACGAACTAAAAAAATGAAGTGGCTTTATAATTGTTTGACTGTGTGTGTGTGTGTGTGTGTAATCTGTTCAGAACAGCCGAGGCGATCAGGAAGATTATTGTTGGAAAACCTACCTGCCTGAACTAGCATTTATGTCAGGCTCTTAGGAGGAAGAGAGAACAAGCACTGGCTGGTGTTTTCTAACCAAACATGTATCTTGTTCAAATCTGGAGCCAACCAGTAACAGGGAGAGGTCAGTTTGTGCTTCTTCATTGTCAGCTTTCAGCTTTTTAAGCTATCTACTATAGATAGTGCAGCTCTGGCAGATAAATAAAACCACAGTTCTTTCTGTATGTAGCATAGGGATTATAAAAAAAATCATACCTTTTTTCACTGTTCGGTAGCATAATAGATGTTTTTTCAGCTGGAGCAAGAACTGAAAGTAGTCATTTCAAACTGGGGATAGCAGGGTTGCACCACACAGTCAAAGAACATTATTGCTTTCTCGAAGAAGGTAAAAGAAGCACTTATTCAGCAAATCACTCTACGATCATTACAAGGTTAATGGACTGTTTTCTGCTTGACTTCATGCTACCTGGGGATGTTCTCAGATGCCCTGGTTGACGATGACGTTCAAGGTGAACATTTTTGGTTAATGTTTTACATCGTTGTCCAGTCCTCTGTGTATTTATTGTGTTTGCGTTTAGGGCCTGCATGTGCATGTGGCTCTTATTTGTTCTCAGTTAAATAATCATCCTCAACCAATTGCCTTTTTTAACCGTTGCATGTTTATTGTGGTGTTATTAGCATCTAAGATCCTGTCCTGCACTGTGGGTTCACATAGTTGGGCTGTCTGCTAAAGGCAGAAATGTTGTCACTATACTGATCTGAGGATGATTATCACAGTAAAAATGTAATAACACTAGGCTACTTTAGGTGATGTATGTAAATCATAGGGGTTGTTATAGTTCAGAGAAATAATTTATTGCAGAATCAGTTAATTAATATTGTATGCTACAACAACGTGTCTAACATTTAAGCCCCAACAAAGCAAAGAAACAGTGCCTTTAAGCGTTCTAAAAGATAAACAAGTTGTCTTGCATATGTTGGTCATTGTTTATTGGAACATGCATGTGTATTTGTTTTTCTTATAGCACATACACCAGACAGCCATAACATTATGACCACTGACAGGTGACGTGAATAACACTGATTATTTCGTTACCGTGGCACCTGTCAATGTGTGAGGTACATTAGGCAGCAAGTTATCATTCAGTTCTTGAAGTTGAATTGTTGTAAGCAGGAGAAATGGGCAGTGTAAGGACCTGAGTGACTCTGACAAGGGCCAAACTGTGATGGCTGACGACTGGGTCAGAGCGTCTCCCAGTCTGCAGGTCTTGTTGGGTGTTAGTGGTTAGTACCAACCAACAGTGTCTAAGGAAGGACAGACAGTGAACCTGTGACAGGGTCATGGACGCCCAAGGCTCACTGATGATGAGGTTGATCTACTGTAGATTAAACTTTTAAATTTCATTCATCCTTTTGCAAAAGATTCCAATTTGTATGATTCTTTGTTAAAGTGATTGAAAAGGAGAAATACTGTACATTGATCTATGAAGAGAAACATTCAACAACTCCTTTTACATATTTTTGTCATTAAATGTTAGGCAAATTCTTGCTCTTTCTGACAGTAGAACTACAGGAGCAAACAAGATGCACTGTGGCCCTCATAGTGATTCTTATAAGTTTAATTTTGTTTATACCTTGTTGCTGTAGCTCTGATCAAATTAACCGTATGTTTAGAGCTTTGAATAGTTCAATTTGTTGGAAATGAAAGCTCAACATTGTTAGTGTGGATATTTTTTAAACAGTGTTTCTGAAGGATTAACATTTTATCGCTCACTCCTACCACACACATGCTACTACTATGAGTGATGATGCCTCCAGCAGACAAATGGGTTTCCCCTGATTCCTATCTTTCTCTCTTCTTCTCACTGGAGCCTTACTTCTAACGTAATAGTTTGTCACAAGTGTTTGATGATCCATAGTAGAAGGAAATGGGATGATCATATGATGAGGCTCAGTTCCAAGCATCTGACAAATGCTTTTAGACAGCCCTGCCTTGATACTGTAACTTCTGCTGGGGTTTCTTTCAGTATCTATGAGAAGATGTTTTCATCATGTCTTCTTGCTTGGTCACACACATTGTTTTCTTTTCATCAC